AAAAAAAGAGAGAGAGAAAAAAAGCCTGCTTATTTCTACCCTAAGTTAACGATCTCAGTGTAATATCCCAGTGGAAAAAACTTAGTGTTTTCAATTTGATACGGCTAGTGAAGGGAAACCCAGATGGTGGGTTTTCTGTTTGATCTCCACCCTAGTAAACAAAACAAAAAAAATTAAATCTCTGCGTGTCTGGTCTCCATTTGGAAATTATATAGAGGCTGCAGTCTGGATACAAAAGCACTTTTTTTTTCCTCCAGAGAAGATGCATCCTTGGTACAATCCTGAATTGTTAAAAGCTTCTTTAATTTGAGGTGCTGTAATTTTCTCCTTGCCTTTAAAAGCTGATGGTGCATTTAATTCCCCTGAAGCTGAGATGGAGAAGCCTATTTAAGAAAGCCAGCTTCTCCTAAACCTGGTCCTGTTGTGTGTGGGTAATAGTTTCTCTGCCTCTGTCTTCCATAGACAGCTGCTTTGTCTGCGCATGCAGGATGCCTGACGTGGACAGGGGCAGTGTTTGCATAGAAACTTTTAACATCTGGATTTCCTTTCCTTGTTTGGCTGATTTTTTCGGCATCCTTGTTGACTTCAGCTTTCTTGCATTTAATAGTTTTTATGGCATTCGCTGTGGCTGCTTGCAAACGTCGCCGGCCCCAGGGACTTCTCCGCAGCGTTCCATCAGCAGCCGAAATTAGGCTGGAGCATTTCTGTGCGAGCTGGCTCCCTCTGTTCCTACTCCTAGCTCATTAGCACAGGAAGGCTGTTTATTCTTCCCCGTGCACCCAGCACGAGTCGCGTGGTAACTCCTGCTTACATGCACATCCTTCCCAGCTGGGGCTTTTAGTAAGGGACCTTCCAAAGCATCAGCCTCGTGCCTTTTGCTGCAGATGATAATGAAGCACTGCTTGGGACAAGAGGCTTTGGTATTTAACAGGTAGCAGCAATGGGCTCCTGTGGCACTTGCGTCCGTGCAGAAGAGGCTGGTAGATCGGAAGGGCTTTGGGGCTTGGACTGTTTTGTTGTCCCGGATCTGTGCAGTGCTTAGCGTGAAGGGGCTTCAGTAAAGTAAAGGTGCTACTTCAATCTGAATACTTTCCCTGGATCACATATGCACAACATGCTCTTCAAGCCACTGTGCCCAGTGTTTTTCATCCTGTTCCCCAAGGTGTTTGAAGAGCAATGTGACAACCACCCCTGGCAGGAAGGGAAGGGCACAAGGTGCAGAAAGAAGGGAGCGTAGCAGACACCAGGCAAATCCCCTCTGGGTTAAGCTATGGAAGAGATGGAAAAATAGCTGTGGTTGATGCCCCTGCCCTGTACATTCCCAAGAGGAGCTGCTGTGAGCAGAGCAGACGCTGGGTCCAGAGCAAAGGGGCTTGGAGGAGGGGGTCCCCTGGATGAAGCAGCTGGGGCTAGAGCCTTCCTCTCAGCGAGGGATGGATGCGTTACGCTCCCCTCAGACATACAGCACACACCAAGAGCCAGCAGGGCTGGGAGCTCCCAGCAAGGGGGCATTTCCTTGATAATAGGATGACATGATATGGAGGGGGTGCTGGGAGCTCTGGTGTCCTGAGCCAGCTTCATCGTGGCACGTTGGACCAGCTTACATAGCTCCCCAGCTATTGGGTACCAACCTTCATCTTCCACATTCCTTGAAATCAGCTCTCAACCTTCACCGAGTCCCTCTCGGAGGCGAAGCAGTGGGGGGAATCTTATCCCCACTTTATGGATGGGAAAGCTGAGGCATGGAGGTAAAATGACTTCCTCGTGGTCCCATGGGCAGTCAGCATCAAGGCTGAGATTAGATGGCAGGTGCTGTTTGTTCTCAGAGCTTGGTAACACGTCCCCGCACTGTATTGCTGCACTGCAGGGACTGCTCCCACCCACTCGCCTCTGTGCAACATTTTGCATCTGCTCGTTCCCGTTCCATACCCCTGGAGCCACAGTGAGATGGGCTGAGGCTCCTTGCTCCCTGTGGCTGGCTGGCGGGCTGATATGGGAAATCGTGATGATGGCATCGCAGCAGTAGACAGATAGAAATAAACTTTCAAATGCTCTAAAAATACTGGAGAGAGAAGAGGGGAGGGGAGGGGAGGGGAGAGATGTGCAGAGATTCAGTAGGATCAGAAGCATAATGAAGACATAGCCCCTGTGAGTTTATTTTTAAGGCCTCACAAAAAGCCTGTAAATGTTTCACTTGCATTTGCTTATGAATGTTCCCGTCTATCCGAGTCCCCGGGGACCTAGCAGGAGGTGCTGGATGACTGGCACTGGGTTTTATCTGTGCTTGGGTGTATTTCGCCAGTGTCGACGGAGGGGCTGTGCAGCGAGTGGGACGTGCTGCCGTGGGTGGCTCAGGTAGAGCTGAGAAATGCTGCCTGGGGTCCTGCACCAAGCGCTGGGGCCTGGGCACCATAATGGGAGTAGGGCCTGCGTGGGCTCCGGCCCCGTGCCTAGTGTGGTGGGCAGGAACCGGGGTTGCTGGCCTCTGTCCTAAAGCCACAGGGCCAGTTGTGCGGCCAGAAGCCCCAGCAGGAGCTCACCCCCTCCTCCGGCTGCAGGTTGAAGCCGGGTCAGTTCTCACAGCCCTGGCGCTGCAGTCTGTTCCAGCTCAGCGTGTCTGCTGGAGGAGCCGGATCCGTTCCCACGCAGCTCCTTCCAGTGCCCCCAGCGGATGCAGCGAGGGAGGGGGAGTCCTTCGGCCTCCTCCTCCCTCCCCCCTCCCTCCTAGGCTGCCACTGGCAACGGCAGAGCAGGTGTGCGGAGGTGAACCGCCACCGCCTGGAAGCTGTTCTGGCAAAGGTGCCCCTTGAGGGGTGGTGCCGGGGGAGACCGCATTCGACACGGGGCACAGAAGCGCTGACCTTTCCAGTCTCTGGATCGGGGGGCTGGAGGGACCTGAGGGCATGACAGAATCTGGGCATAAACTGGGACCGGGTGGTCTCTTGGCAGAAGCCGAGTAGCCTAAGCTCTCCACCTGGCAGAAAGCTAGCCCCCAGCCCTGGCTGGCCCCAGGGCAGGATGGGCAGCGTGCAAAGTGTCTGCGCTCTCCTCCATACCTAACAGCCCTGCATGCAAGCTCACCTGCCTTGAAGTCGGTGCCTAGCCCATATGACTGCCCCTCTGCTGGGCCATCTCTGCCCCCACTCCCACCAGTGTCCCTGGAGCTCTACGGTGGCTGGCTCTCCAGTGGGTAGGCTGGGAAGGAGCCCTCCCCTGGGAAAAGCAGCTGAGCGGCTCTGGGATATGAGAAATGAAAGACATTTGGCTGGGATGGTTTAGCTGGGGCTGGTCCTGCCTTGAGCAGGGCGTTGAACTCAAGGGCCTGTCTTTTCTGTTTCTGTGATTGCAGTAGCAGCCAGGAGCCCCTGGCTGGGAGCTCTGCTGCGTACGGTGCTGTACAGACTTGGAGCAAAAAGTCCATTCGCTTCCGAGGCTCCACAGAGACTGAACATTTAGACACCTTCCCTCGCTAGGAAGGTTTTCTTTCTTTGCCACATTGCTGGGAACAGATGGTGCCTCCGCAAGCTCGGAAGGGAGTTGAGAACAAAGTGGCCAAGATGCTAACGCAGCTCTGCCATCTCTCATTTAAAATCAGCTCCTGCGCCAGGCAACGGGAGGGCAGCAAAGCTGCCTCACTGTGACAAAAAGAGAAGTCCTGGGTATTATCCAGGGAATTACAGATTTGAAATCCTTCTGTCAGCATCGAGGGAAAGTGGCTGACATGATAGCACGGTAAAATGTCTTTTAACCGGAGCGCCAGTCTAATCCCATCTCCAGACCCCCACAGTGCTGGAGGGAATGGGGGGGCAGTGGGGGTGGCTGGAGAAGGTGGGTGTTGGGGACCCAGACCCACTTCTGTGTCCCAGCCCCTCCTGTCAGGCACAGGAGGGACTAATACAGGTCCCCCCTGTTTGAATACAGGTTCGGCTGCTTTCCCCCTACCAGAGGTGATGCAGGGGATGGCTGCTTTTTTTTGCTGTGCTCCCTAGTGCCAAGGGCTGCTATAAGCGTGAGCGCTAGAGGTGCTGGGAGACTGGCATCCGGGGAGGTTAATAAGCAGGTGTTGCTAGCACTTGGCCGAGCTCCTTTTGTCCCTGTGTAGCGTGGGCGGTGCCTGGCACCGCGAGAGGAAGACGGGTGCACACGCGGGTACACGCTCGATTGCTCTCATTAGCTGAGTGGCTGCAGCCAGCCACTGGGGCTGTTCTTGCACTGGACTGGGGTTTAACCCCATGCTGGGGTGGCCTTGTCTTGCCGTGGCTGCAAAGTAGCTCCTGCCTGTAGAAATTCCCAGCTTCTGCTATTTCCTAGCCTGGGAGTAAGCATGGAGGACCTGGGCTGTGCCAGTGCTCCTGCTGGGACTCAAAGCCAGAGGGTCTTGCCCCTTTGCTCGGGGTCAGACCGATGCTGCACGGGGGGCAGGAAGGAATTTGCCCCCATGGTCAGGCTAATACAGACTGTGGAGGGTTTGCCTTCCTCTGTAGCAGAGGCATGGCCGGGGATCTCCTGAGAGTATATTAAAGACCTTTACATTGGCTGCCGCGGTTCCCCTGCTCGACCTGTGGCAGGCTCTGGCGTTACGTCTTGTGTTGTGTCAGGGTTGGCAGTGGTTTTACGAAGAGGTTAGATGATGGATGTGTATGGGGTTGGCTTGGATAGGGCTGATCCTGCCTCAGGCTGGGGGCTGGATTGGATGACCTCTGGAGGTCCCTTCCGGCCATGTTTCTCTGCACTTTCTGTGCCAGGTCATGTTAGTCCCGTTGCTCGTTTTACAGCAAGGGGAAACTGAGGCACAGAGAAGGTTTGGGGCGGTTTGCCCAGAGAGAGCAGCAGTGCCAGGGATGGCCCCCAGCTCCCCAAATCCCAGTCCAGTGCCTTCGCTGCGAGGTGATCTTTCCTTAACGTACCAAACGCACATCTTGCAGCTGGTGGTTGCTGACAGCGCGGGGAGAGGAAGGGCTGCCTGCTGTGACATGGATGCCGTGTTCTCTTCTCCCCAGGTTTCCACGTTATTCCCTCTGTGTCCAACATCGTGCCGGAAAGCTGCCTGCTCATTGTGGTGGGCCTCCTGGTTGGGGGGCTCATCAAAGGTGTAGGCGAGAGCCCCCCCATCCTGAACTCCGAAATCTTCTTCCTCTTTCTCCTCCCACCCATCATTTTGGACGCCGGCTACTTCCTGCCCCTGCGCCAGTTCACAGAGAACCTGGGCACCATCCTCATCTTCGCTGTGGTGGGGACGCTGTGGAACGCCTTCTTCCTCGGCGGGCTGATGTACGCGGTGTGCCAAATCGGCGGCACCGGCCTCAATCACATCGGCCTGCTAGCCAACCTGCTCTTCGGCAGCATCATCTCGGCTGTGGACCCCGTCGCGGTGCTCGCCGTCTTTGAGGAGATCCACATCAATGAGCTCCTGCACATCCTGGTGTTTGGGGAGTCCCTGCTCAATGATGCTGTCACCGTTGTAAGTAAAGTGCTCGCACGTGGGCAAGGTCCTGAGACCCATGGAGCCCCGATGGTGCCGGGCTGGTGGGAGCAAGCTGGGAGGCTGTAGAGTCTCTGTTGCAATGCGGGGTGGATCCTCTGCTGACCCTGACTCTCCTTTCCAGCCCTGGGGCAGAAGCGTTGTATTAGCTCAAGCCCCATGGACTCGAGTTGATCTAGCCTCCTCCAAGGTTTCATAGGTCTTTTTGCTAAGGGGTGGGAGAGAAAGCCCTCTCCTCTTCATCACACAGAGGGGGAAGCACTTAGTCAAAGAGCCTCTGCCCACAGCCACTAAACTCAGGTCTCCACTGGCAGGGCATGGCTGCAGTCAGGGCTGAGATGTGAGGTGCCAACAGCAGTAATACTCATGCAATGTTCACTCCCTTGGAGCACTCCAGGTGAGGTGAGCATGCAGGGCAAGACAGCTTGCTGTGGTCGGTAAGAGCCCTGCCCTGCAAGGAAGGACCTCACTGATCTCCCTTCACTGTTGCAGCCGGATAGGAGGGAGCAGAGCCCAACAGGAAGCAGAGCCTTGCTGGGCGTCACTTGGCACCGAAGCAGCAGGCTCCGCTCCACCTCCCAGCACTTTCCCCCGTAGGAGCACTCTCCGGCTGGAGTCCAACCCTCTGGAGCTCTGTGTTTCTTTGCATGCGGTTCCTCCCCTCCCCTGGGTCTCGGCAGGGCCTGGCACATGCCACCCGGGACAGGGGTCTCTCATTTCTCCCCCTCTCTATTGCTAAGATCTCTGCTATCTGGGTACACCAGCTCTTTATATCAATTTAAACATCAGAGCAGACATACATGCTGTAGAGCACCTCTGAGTGTCCCCACCACCAGCAGTCTGGGGGATTTCTTGTAGCAGCTGTATAGAAATGCTGAGCTGTCAGATGGAGGGCAGAACTGCCAGCCTAGCTAAACCCTCCCACAAGGACATGGGAAGGAAATGGGAGCAATTACTTTGCTTGGTGCTGCTGCCTGGATCCGGCAACCCACACCCCAGTACCAACCCTCCAGGGCAGAGCTCGCCAGGGGCTTGGATGATCTGCCCAGCCGGTGCAGGGTCCATTTGTGAACTGAGTTCAGTGCTCCTGGGTGCCCTGTGTCTGGCTTGGAGCAGCAGTAGTGATTCCTGGTATACAGGGCTCACTAGCAGGCATGTTGGCCGTGGCAGGGGGCTGAGCACTGATTGTTCTGGGAAGGGTGCGGAGAAATTTGTTTGATCAGATACAGACCAAAGGGAGTGTGTAGGTTTGGGAATGCCCAGAAGTTTGCAGGCCTTGCCTAGGACTTGGTATTGGTCTTGGAGGCATGACAATCCCATCCCCAGGTCCAGGTATAATAATGGACTGATACAGGCACCTGCAGGAGAAGGCAGGCAGCTGAACCAGGGTCCCTGCAAGTCTCTCCAAACAGGTCCCTCCTGCTGTCACTAGATCCCAGGGCCAGGAGATCTTGGCTGCAGGGATCTCTCAGGTCCAATGTCCTCAAGCATCCCATAGCCATGTAGACACATCCTGTGGGTCTCCCCGTCCCGGGACCAAAGCTGTGCTGCTGCAGTGCTGCATGGGGCAGTCCCACGTAGAGCTGCTAAGAATACACTGCAGCGACCTGTTGGCTCTCTACACAGTAGAAAGCCTGGCAAGCACTGCCCATGCAACATGTTTCTCTTGGAGATGGATCACACACTGAGGAAGATGACAAGCCCTCTGCTTATCTGGAGGAAGTGTTGTGTTGCCGAGCTGTGGTCTGGGCTTGAGGCAGTCAGTCAGCCCATGAAGATGCTGCGAGCACCGCTTCACACAGGGCTTGTGAGAGCCCGAGCAAGAGAGCTCTGCACCAGAAGGAAAGCACCCCACCACATCCTCTCTGGGAGGCCTCTGCGATGAGCTGGCATGAGGCCTCATACCAGAACCTGGATTGTCATATTCAGCCTCCAGCTTCGTCCCTTCGTTATGCCATGCCCTAGGTGCGCCTGTGACCACTGTGACGATCTGCCTACACCTGGACATGTGCTGCATGTACATGTCCAGCCCTTCCCTGGGTCCTGGGGCCCAGTGGGTTTCTCTTGGAGCATGTGCAGGGTGGGAGCATGGCTCACTCACCCCATCTCTGTGAGGCAGGTGGGCCCTCCACAGGGACTCATTCTGCTGCTCCCATTACTTAGCTCATTGCACCATCCACCAGTTCTGACCAGGGCCCGAGTTCAAGTCATGCTGAAGCTGTGTCCTGGCTCAGGGTGCTGCAGTACCTCAGCCCCTAATAGAAAAGGAAACTGGAGTTTAATGTGATACTTGGGGTAACAGACTCTTCCACCAGGCGAGGCGCAGGGAACATGGCCTTGGAGAGCTCCTGGCAGGGCAGAAATAGCACAGCCCCACAGAGCCGAGCAGCAGCTTCCCACTCCCTGGCATGTGACTCTGGCCGTGGGGTTTCTGCAGGATGTTGACTCCTTTCTAGTCCCTCTCTACAGCCTTTAAACCCCAGTTTTCTTGTGCCTTGTGGCTTCCCCAGTTATTATCAAATGTCCTGTCAGCTGTTTGCAGTCCACAAAGAGCAGCCAGGACCTGGTGGGGAAGTGAAAAGTGACACGTGCTCTACTCTGCCCTGGACTCCCCACCCTGCCAGCCTGCAGGAATACCTGGCTGCCTTCTCTCATGTTGGTAAGATCCCAAACATGGATAAAACCAGGCTTGTGGCTCGCAAGAGCTGCCTCTCATGAAGATGCTTTAGCCAAGCATTGGGATCCTGCACCTGGGGTCTCGGCCACCATTTGAAAACGTCCCTTGGCACCTAGCTGGCTGGCTGGTGCTCCAGCTGGAAGCAGCCACCGCTGTACTGCAGTTCCAGCTGTGGAGCTGCCTTTTTAGCTATGAGATGGCATCTCTTAACTGGGCATCTGGTCTCAGGTCAGCTGTGCGACCCAGGGCTGCTCCCAGTTCTCCAGTCCATATGTACCTCCAGCTGGCACTTGGCAAGTCCCCCCAGTTTCCTCTATCTTGTCTACCGAGACTCTAAGCTCCTGGGATCAGAAGCCCTGCCTCACTAGGCCTGTACAGCCCCAAGCACAGGGAAGCCCTGGCCAGAATCCCATCCAGATTTCCGGCTGTGCACAGTCCCCCTGCTCACAGGGTGCTAAGGTCAAGCAGAGCACCAGAAAACCAGATGGGAGTGTGCCCCCCCGAGGGCTGGCCCCTTGCCCCTCCCCAACTCTGTCCTGAAGTGTGATGTCTTGTCCCACAGAGCAGCTGCTAACATTTTTGCATGAGGTTTGATTAAGCAAATGCTCTAGGGCTGCAATCTCCACAGGGTGTGCACCCTTTGGCAGGGAGCCGGGGGCATGGATATGGCCTGTGGCATGTTGAATACAAAGGCTCAGGTCCTTTGATGTGGGTCTTACAAAGGCTTCTCAGGCAAGATCCTGCTTTCCTCATGTGGTGTGGGAGTGCAGCTGCCTCACTGAAATGACCCCTGGCCCTGTCTCTCTCCTCACCCCTCCAGGTGCTCTACCACCTCTTTGAGGAGTTTGCTAACATCAAACAAGTGACCATCATCCACATCCTCCTGGGCTTCATCAGCTTCTTCGTGGTGTCCCTGGGTGGTGTCTTCATCGGCATCATCTACGGGATCGTTGCAGCCTTCACCTCCCGCTTCACCTCCCATATCCGGGTCATCGAGCCCCTCTTCGTCTTCCTCTACAGCTACATGGCTTACCTGTCGGCTGAGCTCTTCCACCTCTCCGGCATCATGGCGTGAGTAGCACCCAGTACCAACCCCTGGCATGGGCATGCTGCCCTGGCTTGGTTAGGGCATGAAGCTGTGCTAGGGCCACATCCAAGATGGGGCTGACCTGCTATCTAGCTAAGCCAGTTTGTAGCCTCTGACTTCAGAGGGAGGTGCAAGAAACCCTGCTGTCAGCCATAGTGGTGCCTGCTGGCACGTCCCTTGCTGACCATTCACATGATCGCTGCCAGGGAGCCTTGCTGCTGAATCCCTCAAGCTGTTCTTAAGCATCTGGAGTCTAAGCCAGAATCTAAGCACTGTCTTCCAGGCCAGGGGTCTCTCAGCACATACCCAGGTTGTAGCCCACCTGCCTGGTTCCTCAACCTGGGAGCTGGACCCCTCCAGCTACCTGTCTGTCCCCAGCATCCTGTCCTGACTCTTTGAGCTTAGACATGCCCTTTCCTAGAACCTGGCCAGAGGCTGGAGGCTTCTGGTTCAAATTGTAACCCTTCAGGAAGTACCTGACAGCTGTAAGCAAATAAACAGGTGGACATGAGGGGTTTGCCCTGGAGTTTCTAGGTGCACAAGAGGTTGTGGATCCCACAGTCTGCCTAGGAGCACTGCCCTGCTAGCCCCCCCTGCCCTCTGGAGCCCTGATGGGATTTTCCCTGCTGCAGGGACTGAAGATGGCTGAGAGCAAACTCAGTGCTCAGCTCTGCTCCTTTCTTAGGGGACCCCCATGCCAGTCTGCTAGTGGAGGCACCACACCCAAGGCATGCTCAGAGCTGCTGTCTGTGTCAGTGCCCCCAGGCATGGGAGGATGCAGCCCCCATCATTCCTTGCAGTAGCTCCCGTGTGTCTGCTCTTACCCTGTAGGGAGCATGAGGGAGTGCATCCCTTTGAGTATAGCGTGAGAACCCCCCGGGTGCTGCAGGAGAAGCATGCGCATCTTGGCACTGACTGCAGAGGCGCGTGCGCTCTAAGCGATCTCGTGGCACATTGCTGATGCAGTCGTATGCAAAAGTCCAGGGTGGATTGTAGCCTGGCGCTAGCCTCCCTGGGGAATTGTGGTCCCCGTGGAGAGGAAGAGCAGGGGGGACAGCAAACCCCAGGCAATAAAAAAGGAGGCTGCAGTTGGAGCTGCACAGAGCTCCGCACCTTGGACAGAA